GGCTATTTTGGAAAATCCCCCTAATTTTGAGTAGGCCTGATCAAAAATTAAAAAGAGGAAATTACGCCATAGCCTGATTTTGAAGATCATTATGCAAAACTCAGGTATGAGGTTTAATTATTCACAAATCAGGTGATAAATCAATTATTTAATATTAAATAATAATATTCCATCACATCACATCCCAACCCACCTCATTCCCACACCATCCCACTCTCAAATTTCAATTTCAATCTCCAAACCAATTATTCTCATCCATTCTCTCTCTCTCTCTCTCTCTCACCCCTCATTTCCCTATCTTTTTATACTCTCACCCCCTGTACTCTTCAATTGCATCTCTCTATACCTACATATACTCTCCGGCGCCATGAGCAAAGAAGATGCAGACAGCGCAGATGTGTGGCGCTCTGTGAGCTTTTCAGCGCCGATCTGAGCTCCGACGAACTGTTCGTTGCTACAACTATCCTCTCTCGCGTTGTTGTCACAACGATTGAAGCGGCGATTGAAATGGTATATCTGCAGCGACGACATTTGAAGTGGCACCGTCGTCGAAGGACCCCAAGGTTCGCTTCTGTTTAACGGTATTCTCCATCTCTCCCGTGCTTCTCTCTTGTTGTGGTTTTTGTGGCTGCTCCGACGATTGGTGTGAATCTGTGATGGTGCGGTGGTGTCGCGGTGGCGTCGCAGTGATGATGCTAGTGTGAATCTGCACATCGAGCTGGCCGAACTGGTAGTCTTGGCAGGAGGGGTACTGTGGTCACCATATGCGAGGAGCCAAAAGTCTTTGTCGTTAAGAAGCTACAGAAGCAGCTTGGGGTCTGTATTGAGGCTTGTGAGTTTACAGAGGGAAAACTTGTTGTGAATGAAGAAGAGAAGACATAGGGGCCTTTTTTTGAGAAGAGAAGACATACAAAAGACATAGAACATTTATCAGGTTTATATATTCCTTTTTTGTTTTCACTCATAAATCTCATAATCAGAAGAGATTGGCAGCCTGAAATGGTGGTAAGGTGGTAGTGGTTGTTGGTTGTTTAGTGGTGAAGGAGGTTGTTAGTGGGTTGCAAGATGGTAGAGATGCGTTTCTGTTGATTGTGGTGGTGGTTCGGCGGCCGAAAGTTCTAGTGCTAGATCGCGATTTGACTATCGGGTAGTTTGTTGTGACTGTTTGTGACCGAATGTGACTGTTTGTGACCGATTGTACCCTTTTATGACCGATTGTGACTGGTGAATTGTGACTCGTTGTGATTGATTGTGCCTTTTTGTGGTCGATTGTGACTCGTGGTGACCGATTGTGACAAAAAAAAAAAATTGGAAAAATTTGGAAGTTGACCGCCGGAACGGGCGTCGGGGTGATCGTCGGAATAACCATCAAAGTGATCATCGGAGAGTCATCGGAGCGGCCACTAATAGTCGGAACAGTCGCCGGAGCGGTGCCGGAGATGGAAGGAATGTGGTGTAGTGAGGTGATGGGGGTCGGTGAGGTGTCATGTGGTGTAAATAATTAATATATATTCTATTATAATTTAATATTTAATAAATCTATTTACCACCTGATTTTTGAAATAATTAGACAAATTTGTTAGTTTTGAAAAGTAATTCTTATATGTGGGTTTTGTGTATTGTTCCCAAATAAAAAATTGAAAAATCGACCAAACTAATCAAATTGAATTGATTCGGGTCATTTTGACACAGGTAATTGGTTTGGTTTGATTTTTTTAAACAAAACCATGATAGATTGTTTCAACCATGATTTGAAACCTCAAACCGTTGATTAATCGGACCAATCCAACCCACTTACATGTTTACTTTTTTTTTTTTAAAAGAAAAATAAACATCAAAAGATAAGCCTTAACTTCATAACTATATTTCGATTCCCTCTAATTTATGATGTTGCCTATAAATAATAACACTAGAAATTTTCTATCACGAGTTCATTATGTTATATTTAGCCCCCATTTGTTTCTCATTTTTTATCTATAAAAATGAAAAATATGATTTCATAAACACTTCACTACCATTTAGCCCCCGTTTGTTTCTCATTTTTCATCCATAAAAATGAAAAATATGATCGTTATCCATCACATCAAGCCATCAATTTTGAATTTCTATCTCTTGTGTGGGGTCCAATAACGGCTATATTTTTCATTCTCATTATACAATAATGAAAATCAAACGGGCTCTTAGCATTTTTCCATACTCATGTAGTCATACTATATAATGCATAAAAAGCAACAAATTTTTTAAATTTTCCGTTGATGTATCTCTATTAACCTGATTTTATTCGATAGTCAATAGTTTTTGTAATATAAAGTTATTTTAGTTCTTTTAGTCTAAGTGGGCTCAAAACCCTGGCAAATTTTATTTTTTTTTTAAAATTCAATTTGGACTAAAAGTTCAAACCGACTATCTGAATCAATCCGATTTAATTTAGGTCTATTCAATTCAAGAGTTAGAATAGGTTGGTTTGTGTTGAAATTTACCCAAATCAATTAATTTGGTTTTTGTTTTGGTTTTGGGTTGGAGTCGAAACCAACACAACCCAAACCAAATCAAATCACGCTCAAGCCTAATTTTGAGAAAATAGAGTTTCAAATGGTGATTTTTGTTTTTTGAAGAAAATTGTGATTAAAAGTATAAATAAATTTTTGATTTTCATGTAAAATATTTTATTACGTAAATATGTGGTTAAAAAATAGTATACGAATTAAATAGTATAGAACTAATTATTGTTAAACAGGGACTAACTCTTTTGGAGTAAATTACGTCAATTTAATTTCGTCAATGCTCACCCAAATTTGGAGTAAATTTTATCGTGGTCATTAAAGTAATTTTCTTATAGTAGTAGTTGATGAATTTTTTAATGATTTCACTAATGATCATTCGGTTAAAATTATTAGTGTTATACCTATTTCCTCTCCAATTTCTTCCTTGGTTTATCTATTATCCTAATTCTCCAAGTTCGACAATTTCTTCAATTGACTTTAATTTAGGATTCTTCATTAAATAGTATATTAGTACTACAGATCATTTGTTTAAAATTATTAGTGTTATACCCTATTTCCTCTCCAATTTCTTCCTTTGTTTATTTATTATCCTAATTCTCCAAGCTCGACAATTTCTCCAAATAGTCTTTAATTTAGGATTCTCCATTAAATAGTAAATTAGTACGACCTTTACAAATTTGTGTTTTCTCTTATCATTAATCTTTCTTTACTCAATTTCCTTTGGTTTAAGGTTATACAACTCCAAAAAAAATGGAAATAAAGTTTGGGTCATGAACCTTTATTGCTTTTGTATGCTATTGTAGGATAGGTTGTATCATGAAAACTTTATGGACTGAAGTTAATTAGGCAATCAATTCTTAGGACGTGAAACTTCGGGTGAAGTTTACTGTAGATATAGGGTCGATTGTATTCACGAAGTTCAAGTTTTCAAGACTATATTAGCTAGAGACGTAATGACTCGGAACTTTAGTTGTCATTGACGTAATTAACTTTATTTCCACGATCTTGTAAGTAAATTTCATTTTATTTGCTAATTTATGTTTAGTTTTTTTTTTCCAAACCATATTTTGAAACCAGCTCGTTCAAACCTTCAATCAAATTGAATCAAGCTTGATAAGTGGGTCTACCTAAATGGACTCGTCCATCGACATATTTATAAGTTAATTAATGCTATTTAACATCACTTTTATTACAACACTAGTCTAAATGACATTATTGATATTAGTTGAAATATTACAATTAAATGAATCACTTAATTTTACCTCTTACTAAATCTATCACGTAGCGACACAGTGTTGTAAAACTAATGGTGTTAGAAAGCATTATTGTGTAAGTTAGGGGCTTCTGAAAAACTTAGAATAGAGTACGGATCCTTTTGCAATTTTTCCTTAGTTCTCCTTAAGATATATTCTTCGGCTAGGGTTTGAGAATATATTATTCCGCTTCCTCTCGCCTGTCACGTCTCTGCATTTGTTCGCTCACTCTCTGGCGGCCGCGCCTCCTCCTTCACAAGTTCCCGTTGATTTCTTCTCTTCAATAATTTCGTGTTTATTGGTATTATAATTTGATTCTTTTTCTGGTGTTTAACGATTTAATTATCTGATGGTTAATTCGTTCATCTGTACACTTATTTCTGTATTTGCAATTTTTGCAGTTTCTTTTATATGCTATGCTGAGATTGACATTCGTATATGCCATGTATTCTGGCATTTTGAATACAAAATATGACCAAGAAATTCGTTTTAATTTAGGGAAACACAAATGCTTCAAAATGAATAGTGCCCGGCGGATTGGCTCTTTTATTATAGTAGGGATTAATCTTTCTTTACTCAATTTCCTTTGGTTTAAGGTTATACAACTCCAAAAAAAATGGAAATAAAGTTTGGGTCATGAGCCTTTATTGCTTCTGTATGCTATTATAGGATATGTTGTATCATGAAAACTTTATAATCTGAAGTTAATCAGGCAATCGATTCTTAGGATGTGCAAACTTCGGGTGAAGGTTATTGTAGTTATAGGGTCGATTGTATTCACGAAGTTCAAGTTTTCAAGACTATATTAGCTAGTGACGTAATAACTCAGAATTTTAGTTGTCATTGACGTAATTAACTTTATTTCCCCGATCTTGTAAGTAAATTTCATTTTTTTCGCTAATTTATGTTTAGTTTTTTTTCCAAACCATATTTTGACACCAGCTCGTTCAAACCTTCAATCAAATTGAATCAAGCTTGATAAGTGGGTCTACCTAGATGGACTCGTCCATCGACATATTTATAAGTTAATTAATGCTATTTAACATCACTTTTATTACAACACTAGTCTAAATGACATTATTGATATTAGTTGATATATTACAATTAAATGAATCACTTAATTTTACCTCTTACTAAATCTATCACGTAGTGACATGGTGTTGTAAAACTAATGGTGTTAGAAAGTATTACTGTATAAGTTAGGGGCTTCTGAAAAACTTAGAATAGATTACGGATCCTTTTGCAATTTTTCCTTAGTTCTCCTTAAGATATATTCTTCGGCTAGGGTTTGAGAATATATTATTCTGCTTCCTCTCGCCTGTCACGTCTCTGCATTTGTTACCTCACTCTCTGGCGGCCGAGCCTCCTCCTTCACAGGTTCCCGTTGATTTCTTCTCTTCAATAATTTCGTGTTTATTGGTATTATAATTTGATTCTTTTTCTGGTGTGTAACGATTTAATTATCTGATGGTTAATTCATTCATCTTTACACTTATTTCTGTATTTGCAATTTTTGCAGTTTCTTTTATATGCTATGCTGAGATTGACATTCGTATATGCCATGTATTCTGGCATTTTGAATACATTTATACTGGTTCTTTAAGCAAAATTAAATTCATATCAAATTGAAGCAATTTACAGGGTCTGTTTTGTAGTTGAATCACAAGACATTAAGAGCTCCACACCCGTTCTTGGTCGTTTGACTAATCATAAGTGGGAAGAACTCTTTTTCACTGCCCAAATACTTTCTAATTTTGCGGAATAACGAAGCGAACTCGAATCACTCAATTTTTCTCTGAAATTTTGCGTAAAAATTGTTCTGTGGTATAACTTCACTTTGCACGTTGAAAAGATTAGCTAATATGCTTCCTACACGCTCTCTCTCTCTCTCTCTTTCTCTTATCTAGTAGTTAATTGTAGTTCTTCATATCTAATAGATGCCATTTGATGCTACTATTCAACGAGTTTTATTTGGTTAATTTCGTTAGATCTGTGTTTTCCATTTACTTATATTTTTGTTTTACCGGGGTTCAATTCTATTCTGTTCATTGCTATTGGCAAGTTGCTGTCAGCTTTCTGTTTTATGAATAACCAAGAAGTATGCCGTGAGGCTATGTGTCAATTGCAAGGACTATCTGCTTACACAACACATTTGGCTTTACAGTTTAACAAACTTCTTGCAATCTCTCTTGTGATATGGAATCATTTATTGCATCTCCTGAAAAATTGAATCTTCTTGCAGAATGGATTCACAAATTAAGCATGCCATCGTGGTGAAGATTATGGGCAGGACAGGATCTCGTGGTCAAGTCACTCAGGTGAGAGTGAAATTTATCGATGACCAGAACCGTTTCATTATGAGGAATGTCAAGGGACCAGTCAGGGAAGGTGATGTTCTCACCCTGCTGGAGTCTGAGAGAGAGGCCAGGAGATTGCGCTGATGGCTTTACTTGCAGTCTTTTTCTCTGCTCGAGTTTTTAGCATTTCAAAATTAGTCAAATCATATAAAGCTCTATGTAGGATTATTCCTTTTCGGGAATTCAGACAAGGCATCGAGGTGCTCATGACTGCTCTGGATGCTTCATTTTCATGTTTGTGATGTGATGGTAGATGAACGGTTTGAGTACATTTCATGGGGGCTTTTGCAATTATAATCCGATATTACTATCTTACTGTTCAGGCTTTACTACAAAGTTTGTAGTGACATAATTAAACTGTGGTTTCTCCACACGTTGTTTTACTTTTTTCTGCATTTTTGTTTCCGTACTTTTTCAACTGACAAATAGGATTTATATCAAAATTTGTTGCCAATTTTCCGAGTAAAGTAGAATGAAAACTCGTGTTCCAATCAATGTTTTAAAAACAAGACTGGCCCGGTTAGTTCAACTGACTAGGAACCAGTATCAAAATCAGTTCGGTTAGACTGATAAAGCTTTCAATTAAAAATTCGTTATACTGGTCGAATTTTGGAAAACCGGTGACCTGTTCGACTTTTCGGTTTAACTGGTTTAAATTATGTAAATGCATATTTTTTAAAATTTTTAAATGTATGTTTTTAATTTTTTTAATAATCACCGGTTTAATCTTGGTTCGATTTCAGTTCAATCTTTTGATCCTAACCCCTTTTCTTTTTCGAGTCGATGGTTGAGTCAGGTTTTAAAACATTGGTTCCAATCGATTAGAGAATAATAATTGCAATCTATTTATATGAAATTTGTTTAAAAAGTTAAAGAAAGCTTTCGAAGAAGAAAAATTAAGCCACTGTGTGGCACTCATTATTCTCCTTTTTTTCTCATTCTTCATTTTAACCACACATTCTCCAAATAAAATAATATTGCACACAAATCTAAAACTTTTTATCACTTTTCAACCACACATTCTCCTATCAATCACTATTCCAAAAATTTTCAACCATAAAAAATGCACAATAATGGGGGCCAAATAGGGGCTCAGTTTTTTCATTCCAATGAAGCTTTGATAGCCTACTTGTGCGAAATTTGAGAAGGTTTTCTTTATTTCAACCACACAATCTCCAAATAAAATAATATTACACACAAATCTATAACTTTTCATTACTTTTCCATCACACATTCTCCCATCAATCACTATTCCAAAAATTTTCAACCCATTAAAATGGGTATCAAATACTCACTAAAAGTCGTGAGAATCTTTTCACAAGAAGTTCTTGTTTGGTAGAGATTTCTTAAAATTTATTTTAATTGCATATTTTTTAATAAAATAATTTATACGTGAATTTATAATTTTTTATTACATTTTAATCACAATTTTTTTTTAATAAATCTATTTTTACAAAATTAATTTTCAAAAATCTACTAACATAAAGTGCTCAAATCAGTTCATAGAGAAGAAGTTTCGAGTGTCGTCTCCAAATAGGCTCATTATGTATCAAGTGTAAGTTTTACATTTTACTTGAGGAATTAAGTGATCTCTAGCATGATTTATTTATTTATTTTTTTGTGAAGCATATGTATTTTGTGCAGCGTAGTACTTGGCCAGGTAGGAATTAATATCTAGATTTTAATTCAAATCAAAATTAATAGTTAATTTTAACTACATATTTTATAAGATTTAGAACTTTTTAAATACGTATTTAATCAATTTATATAAAAAAAATTACTAAAATCCGCTACCCGTTCTCTTTAGTACTATAGTTATTATTTAGCCATGATATCGCTCTTTCATAAAACAAAAAATAACTCCATCTTCGAACAACAGAGAATATATCAAATGTCCAGAGCATAGAGAAATGCAAGTTTGCATTGCATAAAATTTATTGACAGTAAAATAATCTTTTAATTGGGTTCTTTTTTCCAACATAATCCTACAACATGAAGTATGGAAGGAATGTTAGAAAATTTCTCCTCGCGAATGAGCTTCAGGACATAATTGCTAATCAAATTTGAAACACAAAGCAAGAAATTCAGTATTTTAATTTTATAATTAAAAAGTATTTTTCGTTTTCATTTGCTTTTGTTAAAATACATAATAACGTGATTTGTTCAGACTATTAAAAGTTGATATTTGAAGTTAACTTGATAGCATTATTATCACTAACTCGAGCTAATAATTCGTAAAAACTAAATTCAGTTCTTTAAATTTTAGGGTGAACTCAATGTTGGACAGCTATTGATGGAAAGAAATGAGAATCGGTCAAAACAAGAGCTAAAGAAGAAGAGATGTAAAAGTTCGAGCTAAATTGTAATTTCTCAAAATATGGACAATTGAAGAGGATATGGATCAAATTTGATGAAATTGGAAGTTGAAGGACTCATGAGAAGTACAATGAGATCGCAAGATGAATAAAAAGAAGAAATTCAAGAACCAAAGTAAAAAGTAGCAAAAAGTAACACCTTGTGATCTCTACAGTTCCTACAACCAACTTGCTATAAACCGAGCGATCATAATAGCTATAACCATACGAACAAATAGTTTATTTAGGTAGAAAATATTTTGTTTCCTTTTTCGAGTCTATCTCTTTATAGAATGCAATTCAGACTCGTTTTTAACCAAATTTAGGGTTAGAAGCTAGAGAGAGAGAGAGAGAGAGAGAGCAAAAAGCAAGAAACAAGAATACATAATTTCTACACGGAAAATTGAAGATTATTGCTTGAATTTTGAGTGAAGAAGAAGAATGTGTGTAAAGGAGATTATCAAGAAGAAATGAGGAGATTCAAGGAACCAAGACTTCTCTCTTTTCTTTCTACAGCTAAAATTTGAGCGACGTCTTATTATTCAAATATATTTTGTGTAATTTTATAATGCTTGACTAAATTTCCGGTCACTAGGATGTAGATGAACCCTTTGTTATGATAATATCAATTTTGAGACTTTAAAATTAGATGCTTGCTTTTCTTGGATGATTATTATATTAAATTACGAAAGTTAATGAATCGAAATAATTAAAATGAATCGTGATCTTTATTTTATTCTGGAGAAAGAATAGAGCTTTTGGCACATGATAACAATAGTTGTGGGGTTAGGAGGTGTATAGAATCACATCGCTATACACAGTGGAGAACCCAGCACCCAGCGAGCCCCCACAGTCGCCCGTGCTGGATCCGTTGAGAGCTCTGATGCCGTCGGGTAAGATTGCAGAGTCAGAACTAGAAGGCAGAAAACGTCGGAGAAGATAATGCGAAGAAGTAGCTGTTGTTTTTTTTTTTTTTTTAATTTGGCCAGTTGGGTTGGACACTTGTGCAGCTGGGCTGGCACTTGGGCTGATTATTGTGTAAAAAAAATAATGCCAAATAATAGAGGAAAGGGTCCAATTCCAAACCCCAAAAGGCAAAACCGGCAAAGTGAACCCTTATTTCCCAATTCCCACTTCGTCATTTCCAGTTAGAAGAAGAAGCTGCGATTGGGTGAAGCCAAAGCGAATGCGTGCAACTCCGACTCCCAGTACTCTGTAACAGAATTAAGGTTAGTTTATGTGTGTATTTGATTATGGATTTTGGCATTTTGCTATGTGTATTTGATTATGTATTTTATATTTTTACTAATTGTATTAATTTACGGTAGCTGTAAGCCTATAATAAATTGGTTGATGAAAAATGAGAAAGTTATAATAAAGATTCAACTTTTATCTATATGAAAGATGAAATGAAGAGTTTCAATATGTTGTTTGATTGATTGGGCTTTGAGGTTCGTTTTTGCAAATTGATTCTTTTACGTGTATTTTTTTTTTTTTTTTTTGTGAGTACTTGCTTTTATTCAATTGCTTATTGAAATAGATATGATAATTGGTTGGAATCCATAACTGTTATTTACCAAATACCAATTAATGTGTTGCTAAATGCTAAATACTTTACTGCATTGTGGTTCTTTTGTAAATTGTGTTTGCATTTTGATTTCTTTTGCTATTTTTTTGGGTTATTTCTTTCATAAATATATATAATTTTTACATTTTAGTGCGTTTACATATATATTAAGCAATTTTTCATATTATTTAATTAAATATTAATAAACAATCGTTGTTACGATCGCTTATTGTCGACGTTGACCGGTAGTATACATTGCATGGATTAATTGAATGTCAAGTGATTAAACTCCTGTTTTAGCCCCATTTTTGTAAGGAAATGTATTTTGAAATAGTGATTTTTGGAGAATGTGTAGTTAGAAAAAAAAGTTTTCCATTTATGTGTAAAATTATTTTATAGAAAAATGTGTGGTTGAAAATAAGTTTTTGAAAAACTGGGAATCAAACATAAGCTAAATGTATATTTCCATGTTTGTATCTTCATAGAGATATAAGAGGGCAATATGTGATGATATGTTTAGTATTACTGAAGAGAAATTACTAATTATAAAATTAGTACATTAATCATCAAGATCAAGTATTTTTGTTGTCTTGGTTATTGTTGAAATTGATTAATACCGGGGATTCGAAATTCTAGTACTTGTCGTTATTAAACTTTATAAACGTTTCTTAGTTGCTCATTAGTTTAGTTTTTAGATAATTAGTCACAAACCAACTAATAACATTTTGCTATTCGATTACACTTAATATTAATTAGAATCTGATTATGTACTTGGTCCTCACGAGTAAGATACTTTACCCACTCTTTATTATTTGGCTACAATATACAATACACTTAATGAATTTTAGCAGTCAAATTTTTGGCTCCGTCTCCAAGGACCATGGCATTTAGTTAACTCTAGTTTTATTTTGAATTTTATTACTTTACTTTAGTATTAAATTTTTATTTTCAAAATTACATTGTTTTCTTCTCTCCTCTCTAATATTTTGTATGCAAAATTCGAGACACAATCATCTTGCTCCATTTAAACTAGAGATGAAACAAACATTCAAATTACAAAGTTTCTCTTTGGTAGAAATTAAGTCAAAGTCAATAATTAAATTTAATCACGTACTTTGTAAATTCACAATTTTTCAGCCACACTTTTCATTAAATTTTATAAA